AAGTCACAATTTGTTCATCGGTCACAAATCAAAAATTTTATAAGTCACAAATTATTTTACGGTCACAAAACAGAAATTTTATAAGTCACAATTTGTTCAACAGGAACAAATAAAAAAAATTATACGTCACAACTTATTCATCGCTCACAAATCACAAATATTATAAGTTACAATTTAGTAAACAGTCACAAATTATCAAATTATGGGTCACAAATTAATAATTTTTTAGGTCGCACATTTTTTTTGTCACAATTTATCTTTTTTATTGGTCACGAGTTAACCAATTTAAAGGTCACATCCAAGCAAATCATTTGTGACTACCACCAACACATATTGTTGATTGATCACGAGTTACCCAATTTAAAGGTCACAGCCAAGCAAATCATTTGTGACCACCACCTCACCATTGCCACCAATACCGCCACACGCCAGAACCACCACCGCCACACCCACAACATCACAGATAATAGGCCTTATCATTCATACCTTCTTTTCTATATGCATCAATCATAACAGAGTAAGTTGTGGCATCTGGTTGGCAACTTTTATCTTTCATTCACATGAAAACTCTTTCCATCTCCATTAAATCCATCTCCTTTGCACATGCATATATGACAGCATTAAAGAACGAGGTATTCTCATGTATCTCTAATTTTCCAGCCAATTTAACATTGTTGATCACCTTATGGAAAAGACCAGCATTGGAATACCCTCTGATGAGGCAGTAGAAAGTCTTGGTGTCTGCCTTCATGGCTTTAGCACGCATCTGATCAAATGTATACTCCATGTGCTTGGCATCGCTTGCATCTGAAAATGCCTCGATTATATTGTTGTACGTTGATGTCGTCCAAGGAAATGAAAGCCTACGCATGTATTCCATTACTGAAGACATCTTATCGTACATCGTTTTCTTTCCATAAGCACCAATCAGAATGTTAAAAGTGTGTGTTTCTGGCTCAATTCCGAAATTGTGGAATTTTTCATACCTTCTTTCCATCATTTCAATTTGACCCTTGTTACCAAGCACACTAAGAATGGTATTCATAGTCCACACACCAGGTTTACACGTGGTGCTCTCAAGCATCCCGGAGAGCACCATTTCCATCTGTTCGTATTTCCCTGCCTTTCCATAACCTTTCAACACTATATTTAAGTAACAGTGTTTGGAGTTATTAATCTTTCAGCCATTTGATCATAGAGGGACTCAACCAATTCAAAACGAGAAGCATCAACACAAACTTTAATCAGTATACTAAAGCTATATATGTCAAGCTGGCAGAGAGGAATAGCCTTCATTTGTTCAAGCATAGAAAATCACTAACCGCCAGATCCACCACCGCCGCCACTACCAAAACCAACAAACCCCATCAAATCCATCGTCGATCCAACAAAACCACCACTACAGCCAAACCATCACCACCGTCACCAACAAAAACCATCCCCAAATCACGAAGCAGCGCACAGCCTACCATTACCCCATCTGGGGCCACTGCTACCGTAATAGTGATTCAACTCCACAATGTCCATCAACCACCACAAAATTACGGTTAACCCCTGCAAAAATTGCAAAAAAATCAGACATTAAAAAAATGTAGCGGTAATTTGCACAAATAAGCGCCGCTACTTCGTGTTTGTGCACAACACCGCCGGACGAGGCTGCATCGTCTCGTGGAGGCTGATTGCCGACGGAGAGAGAGAGAGAGAAAATTAAAATGAAATTGATTAGGTTTGGGATGAAAATTGTATATTTAATATTTAAAATAAAATGTCTGATTCTTGAAAAGTTAAACCCTTTTATCTGATTTTTGAAATTGAATCTTTAAAAATCTGGTTTTGTGTAATTTCTTCTTAATTAAATGCTTCAAAACTCAAAATGTCGAAACCTTATCAGATCACTTTAAACGTGTTTAACCAAAATTGATAACTTTTAATTTAATACACAATATTTCACATATAAGCACACATGTTCAATTAAAAATCCTTACAGGACCAACAACAAGAATTAAATGCCCCTTTTTCTTTCTTTCTTTATTTATTTTTTTCCCTTTCACCATGGAATTTTGAACTTTTAAGAGATAAATTATTCTTACTCAATTGAGCTCTTATTTTTTTTTTCCCTTTGAGAAATAAATTACTAGAAAACTTTGTCCTGGAATATACAAAGCAATTTAAAATATTTATCAATATTGTTTATATTGCCGACATCTAGAAAATGTAAAATTTTAGGACAGAGAGAGAATAAAATTAATTTCTTAGGAATCCCTTAGCTTGGTTGGTGATTGATGGTGCATATTCCGAAGGACTTCAAACTCAAGTCTAATGGTTGTACATTGGACCTTCTTCTAAAGGTCTCTTTTGTTCTAATAATAAACATTAAGAATTTAAAATACTTCTCGAATTAAAAAAAAAAAAAAAAGGGTACAAGATGTTTCAATGATGAATGGTGCCATAATTAGTTTGAAAGCTCAATCACATGGACAAATTAATCATTAAAAAGTGTCATTTTTTAAATTATATTTTATGTTTCTAATTTTGAATAGGCGACAAAATTACATGTATTTTATTATATGTACTTAGACTGATTACATATCCTATTGAATGAGCAATTTTGTACTCGATTCCCATCAGAAAATTTTCCAACTGGCCCTAGTTCATCATTATTGATTTCTACCGATAAAAATGTGACTTTAGCGACAGATTTTCCATCGTTGAAAGTGTAATTTTTGATAATGCACGTACGTATAATAGTGACTTGAGAATCAATCTCCTCCTCATCTTTCAATGTTTTATAAACTTAATCTCAACGCATTGTTCAAGATTTCTCGTCCTATCATTAAAATCAAGCATTCCTAGTACAACATAATTGAGGAAATGGACCCCTTTCAGTTTGGTCATTGTTTATAAAATTTGTGGCTACAAAATTCCAATTTATTGAGATTTATTTAGAAATCAATTAAGTATATTTTTTAATTTCTCCTTTATTTCCAACCATGGAATTGTTTTGAAAATCATGCCATGAAAAAACATTGTACCTAGGCTCTACTCGACATTAAATCCACCATTATCCAGGTCTTTAGTTGTATGTCATTATTATGTTGCTTAAATATTATCCAACAATGATTATTAACTGAAGAAAATAAATAGGATAGGTCGAAGTCAACGTGTTTTCTAACTCGTTAATTATTTTAACAAACAATGACGTTGATAATTGTCTAATGGGGAAATTAGGCCCAGTACGTCCCATGTGGAACAAAATTGAATAAAACGTCCAAAATAATTCAAAACGTAACTTATACGTTCAAAACTCTAGTCCCAAAGCGTAAAGAGAGAGAGAAACGATTCATCCATCCATCTAAGGTAGTCATCAGCAAGCTGCGCCTTGATAAGGACCGCAAGTCTCTTCTGGAGCGCAAAGCCAAGGGGCGTGCCGCCACCGACAAGGATAAGGGCACAAAGTTCACTTCCGATGACATCATGCAGACCGTAGATTAATTAATTTAATCTTCGACTATATGGGTATTGTCACTCGATTTTACTGTTGGGTTTAATTGGTTCATGTCGATGAGATGAATTGAGTGAAACTATGTTGTTGCACTTCATTTTTGGTTAGATTTTCGTACTAGGAGACTTTTGGATATTGATTATGCTTTATTTTTCTCATTGTTTAATGAAATGCTTATAGCTTGGGTTGTTAATTTTACTTGAATTGAATCATCTGTAGGTTTGTTGGCCTTTTGTTGCTATTACTGTTTAATTTGCTGGAGATTCTTAGGTCGGTTCGTAGGCAT